ACACCAATGCCCAGACGCAATAAAGGATTGAAGAGAAAGCTGCTTAGGGTCCCGCGCGACCGATAAACGAACCATTAGCAAGGTCACTGTAAATTGATCTATTTTATTTTAAGCTAGTTTTAAGTGATTTAGGTAATGATTTTGTAACGGTTAGCGTTACCGCTGACTTTAACTTAGATCTAAATTCTAATTTAATTACTATTATCTACCTAAATAAATATACTTAAATAATAATATATCTAAATCTACGTAAACTACCTAACTAAATAACTTAATTAAATAATTCATATTGTTCTACACTAATAAAATAAATAAAATAATAAATCTACAAGCAAACCCGCGTGAAACAAGTTGTTCAATATTTCTTTTGTTCTCTGTCGAGCGGGCGGACTGTTTTTTATGTATGCGCAAGCGACGCGCCTACGGCCGCGATGGATGCTCCCGCCGCGCAGTGTTGCCAACTCGGATTTTGAAAAAGTCGTAGGACAGATAAGAAAATTACGTAGAAATGGTACAATTTCCATACAGAAAATACGTAGATCTACGTACTTTTTTTTCTGAGTGAAATGAAGAGAGTAGGGGTAGGTAAAAGTAATAAAACGACAATTTATATTACCCTAAAAGTATAGTTTTATTGACTATCATTTTCAGGCAAATTAAATTTGTACATGTATTTATTAAAAAGTTTAATATGTTCCTGCGAAGGCTCGCGGTTCTTTTTTATGCCACTTTTTGTGTATAGTAAGCCTGTAAGCGTGTCCGTGTGCAGCCTGTTTCTTATATTAGTTTTCATTAAATTTATGGCAGAAAACAGTCGCTCGACATTTGCACTGCTATGTGGCAATGTTAATAAAATTTGTGAAAATTCACTCAATAATGGAAACATTGGCGACAAATCGCCTTTTCTTATTTTTGAAATATGACGCCAAAACTCATTTGCTTTGATTAGCTGATCCTCTTGAAATGGAAGATTAGTGTTTCTTAGAGTTCTCCATTCCCGGTCTAATTCTGTCAAATTTGTTGGACATAATCCTGAAAATAAATATATTAATAAATTAATTTATAAATGAATAAATTAATGGAAGTCAATCCATTAATAGTATTTTAATTAATTAATTAATCTATTTTAATTAATTGAAAACTAAGTAAGATGCAGACTCAACAACCAGATAACCATATTACCTGGAAACATTAGCCCTAAATGAGCTATAGATGGTACAGAACGTTTTAAATTTGAGTCCAGCAATGTGTCAGGGTTTAAAAACCTTAAATTTTTCAATCTTTGTCGGTGCTCATCTTCAAAAGGAAAGCGATTTTTTATTTGATTAAGACTTTCAATGTAAAATTCAAGACATTTTTGTCTTAACTGTCTTAGTTGATCTGGATGAATACTATTTTTGTTCTTTATTATTAAAGCAGCAACATTGCCTCCTAAGTAAATGTCTTCCAGGGGTAAATGGTTTTCAGTTTTTTCAAAATCAATTTGCAATATTTTTAATTCCAATAATTCCAATGCTGCAACTTTGTCATGGACTTGAATGTTTGTTTTCTCCTGTTCAGTTAATTCCAAATATTCTGGCTTCAAAAAACATTCCAATATAGTCTTGTAGGTTATAAAAATTTTTTCATATAGCAAGTAGAGTTTTGGGCTTTCAGATTGCATTTCTTTGTTCAAATCATTGAAGTATGGCAATACAAAACTTAAAAACTCTAAATATAATTCTGTGGTTGGTTCCAGACATTTGTCAAGGATTGATTGAGCTGCAAGTAATCTGTCAGCTAACACCGCACTTTGAAAATATAGTTTCAATGCTGGTAGTTGTTCTAGAAGCCTTTTCACAACTTGTAACAAGGACAGCCACCTTGTTTGAGCAGGGTGTAATAGTTTATATGGTTTGACATTTACAAAACATTGAAACTCTTTGTAGTCTCCAATACGTTTTGGACTATTCTGTATATAGTTGTAAACATCTCGAGCAAAGTCTTCCACACCTCGTGGTAATTTTTTGCAAGCATACGAGGCACATAGGTGAAAAGAGTGGCATATACATTTTATTAGAACCAGATTCGGAATATCTTTTGCAAACAATTTAGACAGAGAATGATGTTGTCCAAACATAGAATTAGTTCCGTCAGCTGCAAATCCAATCATATTTTCCTTATATGGAATATTCTTCTCTTCAAAATATTCTGTACAAGCATTATGTAAGGCTGTAGCCGTACCATCAACAACTGGTATTAGACATAGAAAACTATCTTCAACTTGAAAATCAACAGCAGTTCTTACAATAAGTGCCAAATGTTTAGTTGATGATCTGTCTGTGCTCTCATCTACTATCAGTGAAAACTTATTTTTTTGTAATATTTCAATCAATTGGTTTTCTGCTACTTTACCGGTAACATTTGTAACAATAGCATGTGCCTTTGTTCTTCCAAAAGTTAATTCTGATGCAAGCTTTGAATCTTGGGCAACTGATTGTATAAGATCCTTTAGATCATCTGCTAAACTAAATGGTAGATTGTGCTCTGCTAGAAAACATGCCATCTTTATTTCTCCAGACTTAATTTTATCTGTGAATGACTTTGATGCAGACCCAGGCAACATTGAAGTAATAGTAGGTTGAAGTACTGCACCTGAATGAAAGTAAAAATAAAAGCATCAACAGGACTGGACATTAATTTATCATGCAGGCTAGTTGTAAAACAACTAATTTGAAACTCAAACCATAACCCTTCACACCTGATAATTCACTTATCACAATAATAAAGTAAAGGAATATTCACATTACCTAATTATTTCTTACACTTTGTTAGAAAAGCAAGTAAATAATTAAAAACAAAAAAAACATCAGTAAAGTAGACCACACCAACCTTTAATATTATTCTTATGTTTAATAGATTCTGCATGCTTTGTCAAAACCCTTTTACCTCCACCACATTTCAAGTCACACTTGCATATATTACAATAACAATAGTAATCTCCTTTGTTGCTTTTTTTAATCCAACCTGAATAATTTTTGTCGTTTTCCCACAGATTTGAGTATTTTTGTTCATAATGCAGCTTCCTTTTTTTAGTAAGAGTAACATTCTGCTCGTCCTCACTGTCACTGCTTATTTCCATAATTGAATCCAATTATATTAGCACGAAATTGAAAAATATCGAACGAAATACAACAATCAGATCAAGGAAGGCTCTTCCAGTGACATTTACAGGGGGGCGCTGTACAACTTTTTTTCTATGGGGAAATGTCAAAATAACATTAGTTCCGACTTTTGCCACATATCAAATAACCGTGATCTAATAATAACCCATGAAACGGAACGTTTATTAACTTTGTCGCGAAAGTAAAGGAAAACGATGCCCATTCAGGCTATTTAGCAAATTTGATAGAAAATACGTAGATTCTGGGACTAAAGTTCGTAGGTTTGCAAGGAAGGCTTAAAATACGTAGATCTACGTAAAAATACGTAGAGTTGGCAACCCTGCCGCCGCGTCTCCT